CTTTTGTAAATAAGCATGGGAAGAGGGGTTGAAGGGATGAGAAGGAAATAATACCCTGTGATGAATGTTATCATTGTGTATATCTAAAACCTACCTATGAAATTAAGTTAAAAAAAAAAAAAACCCAAATCCCAGCAAGGCTTGAGCATTCAGGTACAACATAGTTACCTCTCTGTTATAAATATTTTCTAAGATGCAAATATATAAATTGATAAATTCCTGGTTGTTGGTGAAAGGGTGCATACTATACTAAGCTTCTAGGGACAAACTATAGAACACACTTTCCACAGTCAGTAATTAGTGAGTTGTTTTGTTCAGGATCGTTTCACTGAATATAAAAATGTTCACGAGAATCTGTTGGATTCTGAAGTCTTCAATATCCCTAAACTGCCTTTTTCTCAGGAGTTTACAACTTAACGTTTCTACAATGGAAGTTTTATAGAACCTAAATTAAGTACCTTAATAATTTTTCACTCATACTAATTTTTCATATGCAAGATACATATTTTAATACATATGCAAAGTCTGTACTAATTATTCATCTGAATAGTATATATCACTTTCTGGTCTTGTAGCATGCTATTTTGGGTGCTTGACTTTAAAAATTATATAAAATATTTATACTAATAATAATAGGTACCATTTGTTTGAGGCTTACACTCTTCATCACACTGTGCATACATTATCTCTAGTTCTCATAATAACATTGCAAAATGATGGTGTTATTCCTAATTTGGAGAGATTTCTGATCTTTAAGGGAAATGTATGGAATTGCTAACCTGAAAGGCCCACAGCTTTACTGCATTTGATTTATTTTACTGTACTATTATGATAGAACAAAGAGGCAAAATCATTGGAACATCCGTGTTGGAGCATCGGAGCAAAACCAGTATGAGTGACAGAAAGCAAGGAGTTTATTTGAAGGTTGACCTTTCAGATTCGTGGGTGCGGGCTAAATGCTGAGGCTGTCACCTGGGCAGCTCATGCCGAGACTGAAGTCAGCAGTCAGGCAGGAAGGAGTGGAAGATGAACCAGAAGGGGAGGAGAGCATGGATCTGGGACTTAGAGGGGATGGTGATGGGGAGGAGACAGGAGGGACAGGTGGAGAGGGGAAGTAAAAAGATCAGTCTAATATGGATATGCACCGATTCTCTGTGATGAGTATACTTATAATGTATTGTAGACTGACTGATGAAAAAGGGAGGAAAAATGAAAAAAAAATACAAGAAAAGGAAAGATAAATTTTGCGTGTACTTATTTAAGAAATAAAAAGAAATACCTATGATTTTATTGCAAATGTAAGACAGATAAGTTATTGTAGACAGTTTCAAAATGGTAAAAAAGCCAATAAAGGAAGCAAAATCCATCTTTATTCCTTGCCACAATGATGAACTGGAACACATTAAAATGAACTGAAACCCACACCAGTCCCTCACAGCCTGCAGCCTCAGTCATGCTGGGCATCTGGGGAAGAAGCCCAAATGGTCCTGAAACTGAATATGCACCTCAACTAGGATGTCAGGAAACTGGAGGAGATCTTTGGGGACCAGGTTAAGCCAACCTGGTGAAGGAACAGTCAGTGAGGAAATGAGCTGCAGCCCCTCAAAATTCTGCACTGAGCTGCTGGGCAAGACCATAGCTGCGATGCTTCCCTTCTGCCCTTTAACGCCTCATGCATGGTGGTTAGTTCTCACCTACACCACAGGCACGAGAAATATGAGAAACAAAAATTCCACCCGTGCTCAGCTGACACAGTGTAGAACTACCACACTGCATTATAAAGGAGATTATGTTGTGATACCTTAAATTTTCACACATTGATTGATTTTTCTCTATTGACCAATTACAGTAATTATGTCTCAATCTAGTAGGTAAATACGTGGTGTGCAGAATGATATTCGTCAGGAGAAGACAAAGAGGCAAATGTACTTGTTATTCATACCATTTATTTTGCATAAGGAAAGACTAAATGATGCAACCCATTGACTAAGGTTTCAAAGCATTGAAAATTTTATCTGAGACATTTCGCAACTCAGACGAGGGATGTCTAAAATTCTAATGAGCTCTGCCTGAATGGAGAAGATGATAATGAATATCATTAGAGAAGATGGGATGGTGCATTTGTTTCTCTTCTACATCTTCTCTCCTCTCCTCTCCAAACAGAAGCAAGAAATTTCTGCAGGAGTCAAAGTGCTTCAATATAAACATTTGTGATATGACATTTCTAAAGAAATGAATCTAATGTGTCTATAAATGAGCATATTACTCTGTAGGCTACATAAGGGATTTAAGACGAAGAATATAGCTACAAATACCAAATGTTCAGCTAGGAGCAAGCCGGCATTTATGTGAAGCACAATCCAGACATGGTGACCGTCACTGTGTGTCTCTTGCATGCTTGTGACATCACTATGTTATGAAGATATCCTGAGTTTTCCAAGGGCACCAAAGCTATTGTCCAATAGAAACTTTGATTGAGTTTTACAATGAATGTGTAAAAGAGATACTGAAAAATATTTCAGGAAAAAAAAAAAATACAGACCTGGAGATACTGGTCAAAGGGAACTTAATAACAAATTACTCCGAAACTTACGTTTAAATGACACACATTCAGTTTTGCAGAGTTTCTGTTTATCAGGAATTCTGTTTCCGGGTCTTCTACCAGGCTTCAATGTGGTGCTGGTCCTGATTTGTGGTTTCATCTGCAGGTTCTCCTGGGGAAGTTTGGCTTCTCTCCCACACTCGTCCTCTGGCTTCTAGAAACACATTCAGTTTCCAACAAACTCTAGACCTAAAGGTGTGGGGTTGCTCTCAGGTCCTTGGCGTGAGTCCCGTCATCCTAAGAAGAGCCATTTGTAAAAGTATGCCAACTAAGAAAGCAATGGAGACTGTCAACAAAATGAAAGTCACAGTTTTGTAACCTAACTATAGCAGTGGCATCCCTCAGCATCTCTGTCTATTAGCTACTTCATCCTGGAGGCCACCAACCACCACCAATTCTGTGTGGCCAGCTTTCAGCCAGAGAAGCAGAATCACTGGAAATCTAGTGGTGTCTCATGACAGAACTGTAACAGAGGTTTCATGTTACAAACCACCAGTTGCTCAGTGGTTAACACGGTGTCTTATTTCTTGCTCTGTTCTCAGAGAACTGTGGTCACTGAGCTGAGTGGCTCCAGGTATGTCTCCTTCCATGAAGAATCACTGACAGACACTGCTTCTTCTTTTACTCTATCCCTCCCATTTCAACATACAGGCACACAGGCTGATTTTCTTAAAATTGCCTTATTATTGTTACTATTAATTATTATTTTGTCATACTGGGGATTGAACATTGCACCCAGACTCTCACGCTGAACTATGTCTCCTTATTAAAATTTTGTTGAGAAACAATCTCATTTAAATCACTAAGTTGCTCAGACTGGGATCAAATTTGTGACCCCCTTGCCTCAGCCTCCAGAGTGACGGCATTACAGATAATGTGCCACTATATGCTGTTTAGGCAGCTTTTTATATTTAAGAGTATTATTAACATATTGTGAATTCCTTTCTATGGCATAAAATACACATTCATGGCCTATTTTGAAATGTTTATTTAATTCTGTGGATTTTAGCTATTTCTAATTGTATTTCTATCACTGTGCATTTAGATATTTTGCAGTTTTTAATTTCATTTTGATCTAAATAGCTAACAGATTATTTCCTTTGGTTTAATTGCTAGAAATAAAATTACCACATCAAAAGTTTTGATTATTTTTAAGCTTTTGGTAAAATTAACAAAAAGCTTGTATCAATTTCTATCCCTAATCACTAATGTACAAATATATCTGTTTATCCATGACGGTGTTATGAATTAATTTATTATAAAAACTCTCTTACTTGTATTGAAAAACACTTATCTAAACTATTTTTATAAAAACTTCTTTACTGATAGTGATTTTTTTTGAATGAAGAGAGGTAGCTGGAGTTCTTTATACATGCCAACTCATTTCCCTGGCTATATATCTATTGGAAAAAGCTTATGCTTTCCAAAAGTATTTTCTATATTAACAGTACTGTCCACACATATATTTTAAAAGTAATTCATTATATCTGAATATAAAAATCTCTAGTTGGCTTCTCTAAAGATACTGGCAGAAATAATTACCTACTATGAAAGTTGTAGATTTTCCTAAAGTGAAGTGTGTTTTTGTGCATGATTCAGCGATTCAGAGGAGTCCTCTAGTCCAATCTTTATATGGATTTTAGAGATCTTAGTCCACAGTTTGGATAATTATTCCTCTGAACGTACTGTTTAGTTGTGCTTTCCTTCTATCTCAACCTTTAGTTGATGCACAGCAATTTCAAAACAGGATTTATCATTCTAAATTGATCTTAACTTTACTTGAAACTTTTTGTTTTAAGTCTATGAGTCAGTGAGGTCTTTCTGGAGGACATTTTTTTGGCAAAAATATGATCTGTAGAAGAATTAAAAGGTGATACAGAGATTTCCTTGTATATACATCACTTGTTTTCTTCTAATTCAGCAGTTGAAAGAATCATAATTCTGTTGTCAAACTAAGAAATTGAGCTGACCCAGTGCTGCAGATGGTTCAACATTCCCAGCATTTCCACCAAGCGCCTCTTCTAGGATCCAAAACAGGAAACCACATCGTGATTACTTTTTTGTGTGTCATCCATTTTGAGATGACTTATTAGTATTCCCTTGTCTTTCAATATTTTAGTACTTTAAAAAAGGTATTTTCAATGTGTATAGGATATTATACTTAGTTTGCCAAAGAATACCTATTTTACTGAATATCTCTCAATTTGGATTTGACTTACATTTTCTCACAGTTCATCTTGGGTCATAGATTTGGGGTAAGAATACCACAGAGGTGATATACCCTTTTCGTTGTATACCGTTGGGATAAATTATACTAATATAACTTAATGTTGGTGATTTTAACATTGATCACTTGGTTTTATAAGTTGAATTGTGCACCTTTAAGACTCACGCACTGGTGCTCACTTCAACACACGTATACTAAATTTGGAATGATACAGAGAACATTAGCATGGCCCCTGCATGAGGGTGACATGCAAATTTGTGAAGCATATGTATTTTTGTTATAAACTGCTACCTTGTCCCAGAGTCACACTTATCAAATAAACGGCATCATCCCACTGGAACTGGGGTACAAAGCCTGGCAGATGCTTTTATCCTGATGAGATATCCTTTTGAGAGTCCAGAGGCCTGGTTACTAAATAAGCAAATCTTTGGGACTACTTACTATGGAGTCCTGGAAGCCCATGTGATTTAGCCAAGGAGCAAAGCCCATATGAAACCTATGAAAGCTCTCCAATAAGCAAAGGAATCCTTCATGATGATGTGTGGAATGTTACTCCTGTAGACCTGTGGGACTGGAAACTTGTCAAGGAGAAGATTGCAAAGTATGGCATAAGAAGCAATTTACTTATTGCCCCAATGCCTACTGCTTCAGCGGCTCAGAATAACGAGTCCACTGAACCTTGTACCAGCAACATCTACACTCAAAGAAGAGTCTTGTCAGGAGAATGTCAGGTTGTAAATCCTCACTTATGGAAACATCTTACTGAGTGAGGTTATGGAATGAAGAAATGAAAAATCAGATTATTGCAGGCAATGGCTCTACACAGAGTGTACTAGAAATTCCTGATGATCTGAAGCAGCTTTATAAGATGGTATGGGAAATCTCTCAGGAAACTGTTCTCAAGATGGTGGCTGATAGAGGTTCTTTCATTGATCAAAGCCAGTCTGTGAACATCCATATCATTGAGTCTATCTATGGCAAGCTTATCAGTATGCACCTTGGTGGCGGGAAGCTGGGTTTGAAGACTGGGATGTATTATTTAAGGTCCAGACATGCAGCTAATCCTATCCAGTTCTCTCTAAATAAGGAAAAACTGAAAGATAAGGAAAAGGCATAAAAGGAGGAAGAAGAGAAAGAGAGGAACACAGCAGCCATGGTGTGCTCTTTGGAGATTAGAGATGAATGTCTGATGTGTGGATCCTAAAAAAGACTTAGGAGCATACAGCACATCTTCCATAGACAAAAATACATGAGCATAGATAGGCATGGTGGGTTTGCTTAAGATTAAATGGCTTTGCCAGACCATATTGAAACAGAAGGAATAACTGATTCAAAGTACTGTTTCTATTTAGTGTGAATGATTTGTAAAAGGAAACAGACAAACAAAAAAACTTGGCATATTGGGAATCAAAGTAGAAGTTATAAATGCAAAAGAAGTCGTCCTGGAAATAGGAAGTGATTTAGTGATGCTCATCACTTCTCTAGCTGTCCTTTTCTGATGATGTCGGAGACTTAAATTTTGCTGCTTCTACTGGTGGATTCCTAGAAGCAGAACTAAGTGGTATCCTCTGAGAACTACTGATAGGAACTTTATCTAGATAAAGTCTATAGGTCATTCTGAAGTAAACTTTTTAACCTTCAGTACTTTGGAATGTGACCTTATTTGGAGTTGACCATTGCAAATATTGTTAAAGAGGAGGTCTTTGTGGTCCCTACACAATAATCACAATATTTCTGGTATCCATATCAAAAAGAGAAATTGGTGCACAAACATTAACTCAGGGGAAACACCATAGAAGTCATATGCAGACACTGAAAAGTGCTTCTAAAAGCCAGGGAATGCCAAAAATGCACAACCATCCACCCAGAGCTTGTGAATAACTGTGGAACCTTACTTCTGATCCTCAGAAGGAAACAATGGTGCTGATACCGTAATTTTGAGTTTGTGCCCCTTTATAATGCTTAAAAAACAAATTTCATTAGTTTTGAGTGTGCATGTTCATAATCTCAGCACCTGAGAGGCTGAGGCAAGAGGTTGGATGTGAGTTCAAGGCCAGTTTGGGTTACAAAGTGAGTTTAAGGCCACTTTGTAATATGTAGTAGCAGTAGTAACATTCTGTTTCCACTCTCACCTTCCAAAATAAAGGAAGAAAAGACATTTCTGCTGCTTAAGATGTCTCGTGTGTGGTACTTTAAGGCAGCCCTAATAAACTAATAAATTTGGCTATTTTCTGTGAAGTTACTATTTTTTCTCTTTCTATACTCTGTTAGAAGTGAGTCACAATGGTGAGCTCATTCTTAAGGGGTGAAAAATTAAGGTCTACTTCTTGGAAAGAGGAGCACCAAACTATTTCTGGACACTGATTCAAGGCATTCCAGTGATTAGTAAATATTTTTACTAGCTATTTTAGAAGTGTACAAATGTTCTGTCTCTTTTTAAGCTTTCATTTAGTTCTTTTAACATTCTTAGGTTGCTCTTTGGATTGTAATGCAGTATTGTCATTTGGGTGCTCAAATTGTTCTAGATTTCACCACAGCTCACTGTTTCAGATTAGTGTGGTGTCCCATTGACATGCACATCACAAGAATTGTTTTTCAACACATTCTTATTTTTAACTGATTAAAGAATTCCTCATGTTTCTCTTCCCTAGGCCTAAAGCCAAGCCCAAGAAACATTTTGTTATGATTTAGATCTAGATGTTCCCCAAAAGCCTCATGTACTCAAAGGTTGGGTTTTTGAAAAGTGATTAAATTATTGGGGAAATATAGCTGATTTGCTGTCAGCAGGTGGGGTTTGGTGAGAAGAGTTGAGTCCCTGGGAGCCGTGGATCCCTCCCGTCTTTCTCTACTTCCTGGCCACCATGACACAAGCAGTTTTTTTCCCGCTATGCCCTCTGCCACGCTGCCCTGCCTTGGAGCCAGTAGACTATGTACTGAAACATGAGCCAAAGTAAATCTCTCTACTTTTAAGTTGTGCCAGGTATTTTTGCCGCAGCTAGGAGAAAGCGACTAACACACCCTTGTGTTAGGGAATGACAGATCAGTTTAGCGACTGTGACCCTAGTGTGAGCTGTGCCTAGTAATAGTAGGGATCATTTCTTCACATGTCTTTTAAATTTCCTCAGCAAAGAGTGCTACGTTATGTATGTGCATGTATGTGTTTGTATGCTAACACGAGTACACAACAATACTATCTTTATGTGTTTATTTATGCTTCTATATGCTGATAGCTTAAGGAAAACATGAATTTATACTAATATCTCTGAATTCAACTCAGGACCACAAGGATTGGACTAGAATTCCTTTTTGCTTATTACTATTTTTTCCTGGGACAGTGAGAAAGGCACATTGGCCTTTGACCCTAAATACACAGGGCAAGCCATCTCAGATTTGCTAGTTGCACCCCTGTGTATTGGTATCCTGCAGTTACCATAGCAAAGTATCACAAATTGGAGGGGTTTATAGTAGCAGAACTTTATTCTCTCTCGGTTCCAGGGACTGGAAGTTTGGAAACAAAGCTGATTCCTTCTGGAATCTGTAAGGAGCATTTTTGGGGTCTTTTTCGGTGCTGTGAGAAACAAATTAGCCTACTGAGGTACTGCACTCTGTAGAGTTCCTTTGATCATAGCTTTATCCACTCACGGTTTTACAAATTTACTTGTGCTATTTTTTTCCCTGTCCCCTTCAGCACTGCCATGCCACACACACGAATGCGGTCAGGTGCTATGGTCATCATCTTTCTCTCATGGGGGATTCCTGGGCATCTTGCTTGTTCCGCTTGCATACTTGTTGACAGTGGAGTCCTTGCTGTGATGTATAGTTTTTTGGATGAATCCAATCAGGCATCCTCTTCCACAAAACCACTTAGGATAGTTTCACACTGCTTCTTATTTCTTTTTCTCTTTCTCTTTCTTTTTTTTTCTCTTTCTTTCTTTCTTTCTTCCTTCCTTCCTTCCTTCCTTTCTTTCTTTCTTTCTTTCTTTCTTTCTTTCTTTCTTTCTTTCTTTCTTTCTTTCTTTCTTTCTTTGACATTTCTTTTTACAACCTTCTCCCTGGGAATTCCTGATAACTCTTGATTTTCAGTCTCCGCAATTTTATTTTTTTCAGAACATAATATGTATGGAATCATATCACATATAGCTTTTGTTTAGCTTTTTAATCTAAAAATATTTCTAAGATTGTGTTGTCCCGTAAAGCACATACTGTGTTCATTTGATTGATGTGCAGTATTCTGCTCTATGGATGCATGTATTAGGGTTTGTCTATTTTCCTGCTCAAGGATATTTGGGTTATATTAAGTTTTTGCCAGTTATGGGAACTCTATAAACATTTCTGTATGTAAGTCACTGCATAAAGTTTGGCAGTTAATTTTGGTAAATCCCTAGGGATGGGATTGATGTGCCTTCCTTTGTATGTAAAATTTTTATCTAGCCTTCCTTTATTCTATGGAATCCTCCCTAGACATACACAGCACTAATAAAAAGAATAGTAGACCTACTTTTGTGTAGCTATGACCAGAAATCTGCTGTAAATTCTCTTTTGTTAGAATGATGTAAATTTTAATGAATTATCTTTCTAACCCTAAACACAGATGTACAAAACTACTACTCCTTCATTGTTCTTACAGTAAAGGGAGAATTTGACAGAGGAGTTATGTTAAATAATAGTGAGAGTTTCTTATAAATAACATTTTCTATGTTTGCCAAAATACATACATAGATGTATATTTTCTTGAAAAGTTTAAAACTGATAACTTTATAGCGGCACTGGGCAGAGGTCTGGAAAGCTGGGGGTTTTCCTGTGAAAAGACCCTGTGCCTTCCTGGATCCATGCCTTCTCTCTGGTGAGGAATCCAGCAGTGAGATGAAGCTGATACAAACCCAAAGATCCCCCCAGTGGAGTGTGAAGAAGTCAGGTTGCCCGGTGCAGAAGGAGGAATTCAGAAATGAAACTAGTGTGGAGCACAAGTTTATTTATTAAATGACAAAAGTGGAAACAAAGCTATCAACCCGCAGGCTGTAGGGCAGGAAGAGCTGGAAGAAGCTTCTCAACACGTGTCTCTGCTTTTCCCATAGTTATGGGGCTAAACTTGTTTGGGAGAGCAAGGGGATATAGGGTCTTCACTGATTGGTGTACTCTAGGCCAATCAGTTGTTGCTGGAATGAGCTGTTGCTAGGGTGAGGCATTGCTATGGTGAGCTAAGGGTCATGGCATAAATGTATGCAACCTGGCCCCTAAAAGTAACTGTTTTACATCCTCCAAGGTTTCACAAAGGGC